CCCATAGAGGGACAGCAAGTGCAAACATCTCAGGTCAGTTAGAAGGGGGCAGGAGGTCTAAGGGATGTGAAGTGCTCACTGAGAGTGAGAACTTGTAGGTCAGGACCTGCAGGAAGGTGGGCACCAGGTGAGGACAGTCGTGGGGAGCATGGGACAGTGTGCCCCAGGCAGGGAGAAACCATGCAAAGGTCCCGAGGCAGGAAGGTGCTCACCAGACTTGGCACTGTCAGTGGGGAGAGGTAGATAACATGGGGCATTGGTGTCCACATGATCAGTACTTCCCATATGCAAGGAAAGCACCTAGGAGACACTGCACCTGGGGCTCAGCGCTGATCTGCCTGAATTCCTGCCATTCATCAGCCCCGGGAAGAGATGGACACAGCTGGTCTTGCTGGCCATCCAGCCACACCCTGGGTGCCGTTCATTGCTGTCCACCGTCTGCACCTCTGCCCTTCTGCTTGGCATAAACAAGGAACAGGGTGCCCTGCTAGGTATCGAGCACTGAGGGTCTAGGCTTGAAGTCAGGCATTCATTCTCAGGGTGAGAAGTATGTTCTGGCACCATGGCTGCTGTGGGAGCAAGTTATGTGGACAGATGAACCCCAGGTGAGGTATCATTCATGCTTTGAGGCCCTTCCTAGTGTTTCCTGGCTGGGCCTTGGGAAGGTCACTGGACTACCTGGAAAGAGTTTTCTAAGCTATACCTAAGCCAGCTACTTTCTAGGGTGACTCAGGCCCACCTCAGGATGGGAGAAGGTGTGTTGGAGCAGGTTTCTCTGATAAAAGCGTGCACACCTGTCACCTGGGGTCTTCTCAGAGCAGGTCTGGGGTGGGGCCAAGGGTTTGCACCTGTGCCCCAGTGATGCCTGGAGCAGCCAGGGGCCAATGAGCACTCATGTGCACATGGAAGCGACACCCTCCCATTGGACCCCTGCACAGTGCACAGCTGTAACCCACTCTGTTTCTCCTCCAACCCTTTTTGCAGTATCTGTGCTTAGCTTCAAGGAGCTGGGCACTCCAGGGCTTGCTGTGAACTTCCCAGGGTCACTGCTTTCAATTACATTGTTGAGGTCCTCCAGGGCCTGCCAGGGCCCTGTTAAGGGGTGGTTACCACCTCAGCTCCCAAGGAGAGTGTTGCCTCATCTGCTGATTGTTCAAGAGAAGTCAGAAATCTCTGGTTTTATTGTGAAAACTTGATTTTTCAACTTCAGACTAGATTGAGACAGATAGACAGATACACACACACACACACACAGACACACACACACACACACACACACACACACCCGCGCCCCCCCACACACATGTGTGAACAGAGATGTGTAAATCCAGATTCTGCCACCAAGCCCCTTCTTTTCAGTTTCTCTTCTGGTTTTTTCTTCTGTTTTTTAGGTATTTCTTCTCTTCTATTTTTATAATAATTTAAAGGAGTTTTCTGTGTCAGTAAGTAGTCTTATTAACTTTCCATGACATTTATCTTTATTAAATTTTTTGACATGTAATTTATATATCTGTTAGGAGCTGTAAAATTGAAATGAATTTAAAAAAATTGTTTCAAGAATAAATATTTGATAAAATAGCCCAAGAGGGAAAAATGTAGTACACACACACACACACACACACACACACACACACACAAAAGCTAAAATATGTAAATATTTTTATGTGAGTTCACCCTCAAGAATTATGTTAATCACATGATCTTTTGGTGTCTCCCATAACTTTTGTCAGAATGGTTATCCCATTTAAAAGCCTCTGTAACTCATAGCATGATATTTATTGGTAATAGTACCTTGTATTCATGTAATAGCACTTTAACATTCAGTCTTTCATTCGCTTCTGGTCATAACCCTGTGAATTAGACATGATAGATAATGCAGCGCCCATTTATATAGGAGGAGATTGATTTGGACAAGATAAGTAACTGTCCTGAAAAGAAAAACAAATTTATATACGTGGACATTGGGGTGGCCCTGAAGACCAGGTGGGCAGATACCTGCTGCCCCCAACAGCTATTTGAGGTGTTCACTCCCCACCCTGATGGAGAAGTGGGCAATGAAAGCCAGGCTTTGAGGGCTGGCTGTGAGGGGCTCTGGCATTAACCAACCAGAGCTAAGGTCACCTTGAAATCAAAGAGTAGTGAACACAGGATGTCAGCAAATGAACATGATCCTACTAATCTTCAGGTTTACAATAAACCAGTGGCACTGAACTTCTGTTTTTACAGGCAGTCATGTGACCTGAAGTTGGGTAATGCAAGGGGAGGGGATCAGAGCCTTTTGGAAAATCAGCATGCTATTTCCCCATCGTTGCATCACTCCTTGGAGCAGAGTCTTGTTTGTAGGGTACTGCCTGAAAGGGATGTGGCTCCTTGACCTGGACTGCATCTCTACCACACATGAGAGCCTCTTGCATGAACTGTGTATTGAATCAGGGGTGTCTTGTTTGCATTAAGTATGCTTTCCAACAGCTCAGGCTACAGTACCCAGACCCAGCTGCACATTAGTACCACCCAGGGAGCCTTGAAAACTACCAGGCCAATTTGGTCAGGTCTCTGGGGATGGCCCAGATGACACCAACATGTGGCTGGGATTAGGACTACTGGCAAGAAGTGCCTGCTTCAGACTATTTACAGGGTATCACCCTGCACCTGTGAGATCATATTTGTATAGTAATCATCTTGTTTTCACAGGCTCTGACAATCACTGTTTTGTTTTTTTTTTTGCAAGGAAGTAGAAACCTCACCTTTGATGAGGGAAGGGTCCACCTCAGCAGAGAGTACTAGTGCAAGCCACAGCAAACCAGACTTTCCCCTGATTCTGACTCTAAAAGCAAGTGTAATGTCCATAAACCTGTTTTTGTGCAGTCAACTGCTTGGATCAGCATGTTCGGAAGTCCCCGGAGAGTGTCGCTTTGATCTGGGAGAGAGACGAGCCTGCAACTGAAGTGAGGATCACCTACAGGTACCGTGTGTCCCCTGTCAGCAGGCATTTCAGTGTCCCACAGTGTCTCCTGGGCCTCCGCGTCTCTTTGCAGTAGGTGCTGGTACCAGACACTTCTGCTGGACTGTTCCCAGCAGCAGAATTGCCCAGCTTGGAGGAGGCCTGGCCTTGTTGTTCAACTGGCAATACTCAGTGTCTTCAGATTCCCATAGAAAGAATTGTGTCTTTGAGAACAACTATGGTGAATGTTCAAGGCATAGGGGTGGCTGTTGGCACAGCATGTGTCTGGTTCTGGGCTGGGGTCGCCTGAGTATCAGGGAGCATGTTTCAGCTTTGAGAATGTTCTGTCATCCCAGGAAAAGTAAACATGAATGCAAGCTGAATAAAATACACGCTGGCATAATTAAAATCAGCCCACTCAGCCTCTTACTTTTAGTGCACTTACGAGAGTGGTACAAAAAATAAAATCAAGTCTTTTAAAGAGGGGGTACAACTGACATTCATATTCTTTGATTCCTTAAATTCTTCACATGTACCCTTCTGGACCCTTCTGGATTTTATGTATGTGTTGGGGGTTTGAACGAACCCATCATCCAGGAACTAACTCTCCTCTTGGAAAGTGCTGCCTCCTGTAGGGCCTGCCCTGCTTGGGCTCTCTGTGGTTGGTCGCTGCAGGACATTGGGTCTCCCTTCCCTAGGGGTAAAATTCCCTTTGCTAAAGCCACGAGTGCCCTTTACAGCATTATCTCAGACCCACTATGAACCTAAGTTGTGTGTCCTTTATCATCACCCCCACTCCCCATCAAGGAGTTATGAGCACAATTATTCTCCTGGTGGGTGGCTTATAGTGTTTCTTGTCTGATCATTCAACAAGTTTCATTGTGTGCCACTATCTCCGTCAGGACAGGCTGGGTATGTTGCAGTAACAATACCCCAGTGCATGGCAGAATGTGGCTGGGTGGTCACATTAGATTGTAATAGGCACAGAACGCCTGTCTGAGGAGGTGACATTTAAGCCAAGGTCTTAGTGATAAAAAGAAGCAGCTATGAGAAGAATTGAGGAAGAACTTCCTAGGCACATCCAGGACCCTGAGGGGGAGTAAGGGTAGGTAACCCAGGAACAGAGAGAAAGGGCTTGTGGCTGGGGCAGTGAGAGCGATGGGATGTGGTAAGAGGGATGTTCAGAGAAGCAGGTCCAGACCTGGGGGCCGAGAACAGCCATTCCTCCCCTGCCACTCAGGTGACTGGGGGGCCACTGGGCGCCCCTAGTTTCCTAGTTACTTCTCAAAATTGGGTTTTATCACAGACCAAATTCACCAAACTGCTCAGGTTGACTTTTGGGTACAGCAAAGTGATGTTCATTAATTTGCTGCAGCTTCTAGTGGGCACCACCCTACTCGCCCTCCCCTCTTTCCACCAACAACACCCTCAGCCGTCATAGTCCATCACAGCCTTCCCAGCCACTGCATCGACCTGTCTCCTGCTGGCAGAGCTCATGTATGGCAGTTAAACCTTGGGCCCCACCCAGATGACTGAGGCAGATCTCCAGAGGCCCTGTGCCCTGGGGAGCGCTGCTCTAATATACAAACTGACTCCACTGTTTTTTACTATTATTGGCTCACCTTGATGTATGTGTGATTCTTTAGTAAAAGATTAAGACTCTATGGGTAGGGGTAGAGGAACTAACCAACTGGATGCTGGAGATAAAGTGGATCCAGCCATAGACTGATTTCCTTCCATCACTGCCTCAGATGTGCCCAATACCTGGGATTAGGTAGGCGGGCGGGTGAGCATTGTGTGACATTCCCTTGGCTGGGCATCTCCCATGCACATGCTGAGTGTGAGTTATCAGTGTTCAGCTTTCTGAGAGCTCGGCTCAATCTGGCCTATTGAGATGTGTGGTTAATTGTAAACCATGGGGGGAATTCTTAGGACTGGAGCCAGTGTGTTACAGCTGAAAACAACTTTAGTTCCATTGCACCAGAGTAGCCCCAGGCAAGGGACAAACTTATGAATACAGGCAAAGTATTTATTATTGTGGCATAGAATTAACCCCTGGCCATTTGCAAAAGGTAAAAGCATTCACAGACTCTACAAAGTTGGAGAATGAGAAATGGTTTTATTAAAATTAGGGCAGAGAGAATGCCCATGGCAGTGTTTAAAGAAGATGATTGCCACAGGTAGTAATGGCAGGAGGTGGGGTTGGGGGGTCGCAGGGGCAGAATCCAGACTCTGAGAGTGGACAGCTACACTAACTTCAGGTCAGCTTTTTCTTATATAGGAAAGGGGGAGTCGGTCAGGCAGGTCTGGGGGCTGACATCCCTTCCTGGGGTCTGGTCTGTTTGAAGACAATGTTATCTCCAGTCTCTGGACCTCGGCTAGGCCATCCCTGCCTGGGACTTTAATGTGTTACCAGTAAAGACTGCAGGAAGTTGTAAATTGGATTCTGGTGTCCAGTGTCCGGGGCACCTGAGGATTAAGAAATTGCTCTTTTCAGGTTAGGATGTTGTTAATTAACAAGGACTGGGTTTACTTGAGAAAGGGAACAGAGTTCTTCAGTTAATCAGTGAGGGGAGAAACAAAGAGAAAAGAAATGACTATCAGGGTGGATCAAACTGAAAACTAAATCTAATTACAGATGGATAGATAGCGAGCTATGCAGTGAGTCAAACTGCAGTCTAGCTAAGTCTAACTGCGTTATTGATTTCCTGAATTTCACTGTTACATTATTCTTTCTCCAAAAATATACAGACTTAGCCCAGAATGGTTTTACAGACTTTAGCCAGTCTTAGCACCAGATGACTATTGCTATTTACTGTTTGAGTAAAAAGAGAAGTGTGTGTACAGGTTGTTTATAATTACTGCTACTTAATTATATTCCTGGTCTTTTTAGGTTTTTGACATGAGATTTTTCTCCTCTCCTCTCAGAGGAAAGCCACCTAGACACTGGTGCTGACTGTCCTGCTAGCATATAAACTGCCACTAAAATAAAGTGCTTTCTTGCCCAGTGTCTCATGAGGTGACACCCAAGTTGCCCCAGGACAGTCACAAGCCCAAAGACCAAGCTCCAGACTCATAGCTTAAGCTCTTTATGGAAACTCCTTGGGGCTATGGTTCTCAGAGGCCGAAGTGCTGATGGCAGTGCGTTTTCTGGGGACCATGCCCTCCTTGTCTGTTTGAAGTTTGGGACAACATGTCTCATTCTTTGGGTGGCTATAGCCTCTCATTCCTGGGTCTGATCAATTCTTTTGACTTGGCACATTTCTGAAAAATCACTATAGAGTTTGTAACATGAACCAACAGTTCCTGCCCCAACAGCTGTTAGTAACACCTCCATCTTACTTGCAAGAATTGCCACTTTGCCATATGTCTAGGCAGACACTCATGTACATGCCCACTGAGGTACACATATGTACAGAGGGTGCCAAAAATATGAATACACATTTTAAGAAAGGTGAAAAAAGCTATTAAAATTGTAATAATATATACAGATAGCAAAATATGAATACAAGCCATGTGTATACATTTGTTTGGCACCCTCGATATATGTGGTGTGTGTGTGTGTGTGTGTGTGTACCATGTATGCCTGCACACATACATTTTAAACATGCTCATTTTCCAGGTGTTGTCAGAGAGTGGGCTGTTCTTGGCACTATATCCAGGTTCTTGGTATCTCGAGCAAAGAATTGAACGAGATACTGAGGCAAAGTAGTGAAAAAGTAGTTTATTAGAAGAGATAGTACATTTCAAAGAAGTAGAAGCAGGCCCGAGCAGTAGAGAATGGCTCAAGGGCCCATTATTAGAAGAGAAATCACATTCCAAAGAGTTTGGAGCAGGCCACGCACAAAGGCGAGGCTCAAAAGGCTCAAAAAGGGAGGAAGGGACTCAAAAAAGGGGGCCTGACTGCCCCGACATAGAGTTTTTATCCCTTTTGCTCTAGAATGGGCTCTTCCCCTCTGGGCGTGGGACCACCTGATTGACACCTGTGATTGACAAGAGGCTATAGTGGAGAGGGGAGGTCTTTTGGGCGATGCATTCTGTGGGACGTGCAGGAATGCAGAGACCCAGTGCTTGTCTCTAACTGCCTGCCTTGTTTTCCCCTTTGAGAGATGTGATCCCCATAAAATTTCTAAGGGAAGTTGAGGGACAGGAGGTCTCTTCTGTATCTGCTTCCAGCTGTCCCTGGGGTGTTCACGGAACTCTCACCCTAGCTGATCTCAGATGAGAGGAAGGGGTCTCGAGATCTGCCTGGAACACTGTGTTGGCTTCTTTGGTTGAGACTGGCAATCTTGTTGGGGTGTCATCTGTATCCCCAAGGCCCCTGAATGAGGAAAAATAGATTTTAATTAATAAGTCTGTTAGTTCTTATGAAGCCTGTGGCCATTCAGCCTGTCACTCAAGTGGTGTCAAACCCAGAATGGGTTTGGAAAGAATCATTAGGCTTACTGGCCTGGGGAAATGTTAAAACCTATTTAGTCTCTGGGAGGGAATTGTCCAAGAGTTAGGTCTGAAATGGCTTGAGGGATGTTGGGAAGTTACAGGCTTTTAAGTAGTTATCTGAAGCAGGGTAGGAGATTTCTATGAACAATCCATTGTTTAGGATTAAGAAACTGATTTACAAAACAATCAAGAAGCAGGGGGATAGGGGAATTCTATGATTCAGGCTAGGAGGAATCTTTTAGGATTCACAAGCTGATTAGAAGAGTAATCAAAGCCAGGAGCTAAGGAACTAAGAAACTAGGGAGAAGACTTAATATTTCCATAGGAAAGAAAACTTAAAAGTTTTTCAGTGGGGGAAGGAGGGCTACTCAGTTGGCGCACAACACAGGCACGTTTCCACACCTGCTCTTAGTATTCAAGGATCTGTCCTGGAAACTTTCTCCAGGTAGCAGGCATGGCCCTAACTTCTGCTCTGTTAGTTTTACCTGTGATTACTTAGCTCTTGCCTGTGGCTACACTCTCAGGTTGACTTTAAGGATCTGCTATTCTGAATCCTGATGTGTCTTTAAGTGTCTGCTATT